GGGAGTGCTCTTGGAGGCCTCTTTGGGGCCGTCCTGGAGGCCTCTTGGGCCATCTTGAGGTCACGTCGGTCACTCTTGGAGCGCTCTTGCGCTGTCATGGGGGTTTCTGAGACGTCTCCGATGTCCCCCCTGATCGCCCTAGGTGTGCTGGGAAGGCTTGGCAAAACGCCCTGCGAGGCCAGTGGGGCCGCTTCGAGGCCCGTCCGGAGGGTCCCAAAGCCCCTGATCCTGGGAGTCCGATTTTTTTGGGGGGGTTGACGGGTTTTCCCCCCGCCCGGGCTTAAAAAAAACATGATGGACCCACGAACCCGGAAAGGGATACAGACATGTGCAGCATGGTCACGTTTTCACGATATCCAATTGGGCGACACCTCATGAAACATCCCACGAGACACCCCGCGAAACATCCCAGGAGACACCTCACGAAACAACCCACGAGACACCTCACGAAACATTCCACGAGACACCCCGTGAAACATTCCACGAGACACCCCACGAACAGGCAACCACTCAACCAGACACCCCACGAAACATTCCACGGGGGTGCGACTGGGTGTGGTCGTGCTGGGGTGTGGTCGTGCTGGAGTATGGTCGTGTTGTCGTGCTGTGGTCGTGCTGGGGTGTGGTCGTGCTGGGGGGTGGTCGTGCTGGGGTGGTGGTCGTGCTGGGGGGGTGGTCGTGCTGGGGGGTGGTCGTGCTGGGGCGTGGTCGTGCTGGGGCGTGGTCGTGCTGGGGCGTGGTCGTGCTGGGGTGTGGTCGTGCTGTGGTGAGGTCGTGCTGGGGTGTGGTCGTGCTGGGGTGTGGTCTTGCTGGGGGGGTCGTGCTGGGGTGTGGTCGTGCTGGGGTGTGGTCGTGCTGGGGTGGTCGTGCTGTGGTGGGGTCGTGCTGGGGTGGGGTCGTGCTGGGGTGTGGTCGTGCTGGGGTGTGGTCGTGCTGGGGTGTGGTCGTGCTAGGGTGGGTGCTCGTGCTGGGGTGGGGTCGTGCTGGGGTGTGGTCGTGCTGGGGTGTGTCCGCACCCTGTGATTTATCGATCGGGTCGTGCTGGGGTGTGGTCGTGCTGGGGTGTGGTCGTGCTGGGGTGTGGTCGTGCTGGGGTGTCGTGCTGGGGTGTGGTCGTGCTGGGGTGTGGTCGTGCTGGGGCGTGGTCGTGCTGGGGCGTGGTCGTGCTGGGGTGTGGTCGTGCTGGGATGTGGTCGTGCTGAGGTGGCCCGCACCCTGTGATTTATCGATCGGGATTTAAAAAACAAGCGTTTCGCCCGAGACATCCTCAAACATAATTTCGCCGGCCTCCTTCGACCTCGATATTTATCAGGGAAAAATTTCGCCGGCCTCCTTCAAGTTGGGCACGGGGGACTATGTTTACATACTAAAAGAGAACCCTGGGCCTTTGCCCTTTCCGGGAATATAGGAAGAGGAGAGAATACATATATATATATATGTATGTATGTATGTATGTATGTATGTATGTATGTATGTATGTATGTATGTATGCATGCATGCATGCATGCATGCATGCATGCATGTATGTATGTATGTATGTATGTATGTATGTATGTATGTATATATACAGATGTATGTATGTATGCATGTATGTATGTATGTACGTATGTATGTATGTATGTACGTATGTATGTATGTATATATGTTTGTTTGTTTGTTTGTTTGTTTGTTTGTTTGTTTGTATGTATGTATGTATGTATGTATGTATGTATGTATGTATGTATGTATGTATGTATGTATGTATGTATATATGTATGTATGTATGTATGTATGTATGTATGTATGCATGTCTGTGTGTGTATGGATGTATGTATGTATGTAAATATGTATGTATGTATGTATGTATGTATGTATGTATGTATGTATGTATGCATATCTATACACATGCAAGACTGCATTGGCGCTTCGGTCCATGCACCTTGGTCCTTGAAGCTTGGTGTGCAGGCGGAATTGCAGGAAGGTCAAGACGACAATTTAGCGATAACTCCTTGTTGCTTTTTCCGGCATCGCCGCTATAATCATGTTATTCATTATCTTTCTTCCATTTTCCTTTTTCTTCATTTTCGCCATACCCTGCGCATTCTCGCCATCCTCCGCAGCTCTCTTGTTGCGGAGGCTCCTCCCTGGAGAGCCTCTGGGGGCCTCACAAACATTGTTTCAGGCTTTCTTAAGGCCTTCTGGAGGCCTCCTGTGCGTATTCTGGGGGCTTCCTCGGGCCACCCTGCCTCCAACCGCGGTCTCCCTGAACGACCGGGTCACGATTTGGAATGCTTCGGAGGGTGTCTTGGGGCCATCTTGGGCCGCCATGGGGCTCTCTGAGGGCCATCTTGGACCCGTGTTGTGCCGTTTTGGGGCCCTCTTGGACTGCCCGGAAGGCCTTTCGGATGGTGGGGCGATTTTGGAGCCTCCCAGGCGGCTTCGGACGCCCAGAAGACCGCCGTCTTGGCGCGTCGGGAAGCCGAAAAGAGGAGAACCCCCAAATTCACCAAAAACCAACAGACAATCAATGATGTTTGCCTCTTGGGGCCTTCTTGGGAGTGCTCTTGGAGGCCTCTTTGGGACCGTCCTGGAGGCCTCTTGGGCCATCTTGAGGTCACGTCGGTCACTCTTGGAGCGCTCTTGTGCTGTCTTGGGGGTCTCTGGGACGTCTCCGATGACCCCCCTGACCGCCTTAGGTGTGCTGGGAAGGCTTGGCAAAACGCCCTGCGAGGCCCAGGGGGCCGCTTCGAGGCCCGTCCAGAGGGTCCCAAAGCCCCAGGTCCCGGGAGTCCGGTTTTGTGGGGGAGGGTGATCCCTTTCGCGTTCCGCCCGGATTGTAAAAATAAATGAAAAGGAATACACATATTCCTCTTCCTATATTTTTATAAGCCCGGGCGGGGGAAAACCCATCACCCCCCCCCCCGAAACCGGACTCCTGGGATCTGGGGCTTTGGGACCCTCCGGACGGGCCTCGAAGCGGCCCCCCTGGCCTCGCAGGGCGTTTTGCCAAGCCTTCCCAGCACACCTAGGGCGATAAGGGGGGTCATCGGAGACGTCTCAGAGACCCCCATGACAGCGCAAGAGCGCTCCAAGAGTGACCGACGTGACCTCAAGATGGCCCAAGAGAAGAGGCCTCCAGGACGGCCCCAAAGAGGCCTCCAAGAGCACTCCCAAGAGGCAACAATCATTGATTTTCTGTTAGTTTTTTGGTGAATGTTGGTGTTCTCCTCTTTTCGGCTTCCCGACGCTCCAAGACGGCGGTCTTCTAGGCGTCCGAAGCCGCCTGGGAGGCTCCAAAATCGCCCCACAACCATCCGAAAGGGCTTCCAGGCAGTCCAAGAGGGCCCCAAAACGGCACAACATGTGTCCAAGATGGCCCTCAGAGAGCCCCATGGCGGCCCAAGATGGCCCCAAGACACCCTCCGAAGCATTCCAAATCGTGACCCGGTCATTCAGGGAGACCGTGGTTGGAGGCAGGGTGCCCCGAGGAAGCCCCCAGAGGCCCCCAGAATACGCCCAGGAGGCCTCCAGAAGGCCGTAAGAAAACCTGAAACCATTTTTCTCAGGCCCCCAGAGGCTATCCCAGGAGGAGCCTCCGCAAAAAAAAGCTGAGGAGGATAGGGAGAATGCGCAGGGTATGGCGAACATGAGGAAAAAGAAGCATGGAGGAAGGATAACGAGTGACATTATCATAGCGACGATGCCAGAAAAGGCAACAAGGAGTTATCGCTAAATTGTCGGCTTGACCTTCCTGCTATTCCGCCTGCATGCAAAACTTCAAGGACCAAGGTGCATGGCGCGAAGCGCCACTGCAGCCTTGTATATATATATGTATGTATACACAAGATTTTGAGGCTCGCTGCGCTTCGCCTTCTAATCTTGATCCTTGCACCTCCTTTTTTATGGACTCTGCGGTTCGCATATGGATGTAGCCGTAGAGTTGTTACGGCCCATTCCCGAACCTGACGTTGTGGAGGCTAACCAGGCGCAGCCCCGATTGGCAACAGACCCGACGCGTTCCATGAGGGCTGTGGGAACCGTGCGAGTGGAGCGGCATCACAATAGTCAATCAGGGGCGTGGCTAGCGCTGCGGGATGAGTGCCGCGTTTCATGAAGGACATGGCCAGCGCGCAAGACGGCAACATGGCTCCCAGACAGGGGTGTGGCCAGCGCTCGGGGGAGAGCGCCAACCCCATCCAGTAATGGGGCTTGTGCGCGACCCGCATCATCATCTGCAATGAGGGCTGTGGCGGGTGCTGAGGCGACAGTACCGCTCGTATTGGAGAGTGTGGTCAATGCTGGGGTGGCTGCGCCAATCTCGGATCAGGATGTGGCCACGGATGGGCGAGAGCGCCAATGCCGAAGTATTGCAAACCGCGCGAGCGAAGCAGCAGCACCATGCTGAATGAGGGAAGGACGAGGATGATGATGAGGAGGAGGTGGAGGAGGAGGAGGAGGAGGAAGAGGAGGAGGAGGAAGAGGAGGAGGATGAGGAAGGGGAGGAGGAGGAGAAGGTGGCGGAGGAAGAGGAGGAGGAGGAGGAGGAGGAGGAGGAGGAGGAGGAGGAGGAGGAGGAGGAGGAGGAAGAGGAGGAGGAGGAGGAGGGGGGAGGATGGGGGAGGGGAGGAGCAGGAGTGGGTTGCGGGAAAGCTGAGAAGGAGTAGAAACGAAGATCCTGAGGCCCCGTAGGAAGGCAGGGCTCACATAGCATCCCTCCGCCAAGTTCGCACGTTCCTCAAATGAGACTTGGCTCAAGTCCGTGAGGCTCTGACGAATCCCGCCACAGGCGCCTAATTTCAACAACGTGTACAGCGAGCTTGCCGACCTTCCCTCTGCCATGGCGCCGTGCCAGGTTTGCCTCTGCCATGGGGTGCAGGGCGAGGCGCTGCCGGGCTTGGCTGTCTGCGCCGCACATGGTGGCGCCCCCGGCTCGGCAACGGCTGATTCGTCGCCATCCTCGCCGTCTGGCCTCGTACATGTGGGAGACCCTCGACTTGCACATCCTGTTCAAGGCGCTCAAGGTCCTGGCATCGACAGCCTTGATGGCATGGACACAGAGAACGAGAACTCCGGCGCCACGCAGGGCATGGCAGCGTTGCAGATGAACGCCCCCCCCGGCGCCCAGGCTGCCACTGGGGCGTTTTTTATTCCGGACGAATGGCTCCAGGACCTTGCGGACGATGAGGTGCTCCGCCATTTCTCGCTGATTCAGGCCAGCACCATGACGCAGCCAATAGACATACAGAGTCTCGCCATCCAGATCCCGAACCCTTGGGACGATCTCCAGAAGATTCTCACCAAGCTCGCCTTCAACTCCTCCGCCTCCAGCCCATGGAATATACTCGGCTTTGGTCCCCTGGACGGCCCGGAGCCGACGGAGCAGTGCATCGTCACCCGCGCGCGCACCACGACTATTTTATGTTCGCTAGCTTCGGAGTATACTTGGCCGCAGGTGGATAAAGACAGCGCGTCGGCGGCCGCCGTCTCTGAGGCCGGCCGCCGGTGCGAAGAACAGCTATCCGAGGTATTCCGTGAACGCCGCCGGCTTCGTCCTTCCAAACTCCCAAGGTGGAAGAAGCTTGATGAGACCGCTATGATGGCTGTTCGTTCGATTCCCGCCTGCACCCAGGCTATGGTAGCCACCCAGTGGTCACAGCTCCTCAACGCCTCCTCCCAGGACCACTCGGCGACGGTCGATCAGCATCGGCAGCTTGCGGACATGATGGAGAGAGGTGACACGCGCGCGTTGGGCAAGATGGGAGGTCAGCGAGTACTGGCTTGGGCGCCTTCCGATTCGAATGCGCTCCAGAGGCTCATGGCCGCCTTCCTGCGACAGCCAGATCCATAGCTACGTCCGCTGGGCCTCACGCTCTTGGTACCTCTTCCTCCCTTTCCTGGTGTGAGCTCTCCCGGGGATTTATTTGATCTCTGGTGGCATCCTCTTCTTGAGCAAAAGCCAGAATACGCCGCTCTTGTTCGCAACGCGGACCTCATCTTGCAGCCGGTGGAGTATATCCTGCCGGGCCTTTTCGCTCCCCGACACGTTCGTCAAGGCTGGGCGTGCTTTACGATCTCGCCGGAGGGCCCACGCGCGGCCCCTACGATCCTTTCCCCACTACGGCCGCTCGTGCAGATCTCCGCGGTGAGCTCCTTGTGGGTTGACCTCCCCGCCGAGTTTTTGTCCACACTCATGCGCAAGATGGCTGGCCCGGAAGTTCGCTCCAACCCCGTGTCGTTGCTATGCCGGCAGCCCTGGAGGAGTTTGGGGAGCACGCTGGAGGTGCGTCGCTTGCTGGTGGAAATCCTTCTTCCCAGCATCCTCTCCGAGGTCTCCGCTGAGCTGGTCATTCGGTTTCTGCGGCGTCAGGTGCTGACCTCGCAGATGTACGTGGGCCACAGGGGCCTCTACATATCCCCCGACGCCAAGATCATGGAGTGCCACAGTCCGCTCTCCTTGCGACGCGCCTGGCCTCTATGCTCTCAAGCGCTCTACCTCTCCTCGGACAAGGTGCTCATCTACACTTCGGCTTCCGCCGAGACGTGGATTGAGATGCTCGACAAGACGCTCCAGGAATTTCCAGACCACGCGATCACGATGATCAAGCATAATTAAGGCCATACGCTTCGGAGGCCATCCGTGGGCGACCCCCGCGGCCACCTCGGCGGCACTCGGCGCCTCCCGCCGGCGGCGGGGCCGACCCCAGACGGATTCAGCGTTGATGAACTACGTCACGGAGGTCCGCGTGAACGGGGAGTTCGGGGATACCGACTGGACTGTGATCAAGCAGTTGATCACTCAAACGGCGTGCTCGGTCTCAGGCCTGGACCTCCAGCCTGCGGATCCAGAGCAGGCTCCGCAACCGGGGCAATGGGTGCACCTCGCTTCTCGGGATGCTGCTGCTGCGCCCCCTGGCCGCGCTCGGTTGCATCTTCGTTCCCCCGACGAGGTTCGGAAGGCTTTCAACGCACTGAATGGGCAGGTCCTTCAAGTGGGCGTCGACGATCTGTCCATCACTGTGACCAATGACCTCCGCGACTCCGAGCAGCCTTCGGGAAACAGGCGGCGGGGGGGGGGCAGGGTGCGGCCCCCCCCGCCCCCGCGCAGCGACTAGCTCCACGAATGTTTTGGGAATTCAGATTTTTACTTGCATGGGCTCCACCTACTGGCCTGTGGACGTCGCCTGAGAGTTCCGCTTGGGTTCCCAGGGGCCGTGCCCTCTGTGCCGCGGCCGCCCCGGCAATCTGGAGTCAACCAGTTCGTTGCGCTCGTCTTCGTTCATTGCTTGTACTTCGTCCGGCCGGCTCTTGCCTCGTCTACATGCCTTTCCGCTTGATCATATACTTCAACAACGATTTTTCGATTGCACGCCATCCGACTCGCATGGGGATGTGCCGTGCCAGATCCAGCTGCAGAACAAGATCCGCCGAGCCTTCGGATGTGGCGCGCAAGTGGCACCTTCGGCGTCCTCTGCGCCTTCCTACCCGCGCCCTCCCACGAGCGCGCGACTTCGGCCTCCTCTGGGGGACAGCCCGTGCCCAGGTGAGTTCTCGGCGGTCACGTGGAATTGTCAAGCTTTATTTGCTGCGGATGCCAGTCGTCATCGCGCGAAGTCGCATTGCGCCCGCAAGCTCATGGCCGCCCACGACATCGGTCTCTGGATAGAGACGCACGGCACCGCTGGCGCGAACGCAGTTTGGCGCAATCCACTGGACTGCACTTCCTGGTGGGCTCCTGGCCCCACCCCGGGCAGTGCTGGAGTGGGCGTGACCATTAAGAGCAGCTTCCTGGCGAAGTTCCGAGGGCGTCCTAGATCCTAGATGGCAGATTCTCGTGCCCGGCCGCGCTGCAGTATTCCGCTTGCGCGGTCCATAGGGTTCTCTTGACATCATGGTTGCGTACTTTCACGCCGGGGCGACGCCGTCCCAGGTGGACATCGACGCAGCTGGCCTTTCCAACCTTGGCCGGGCCCCCACCTTCGTGGAGCTCCGGGGCGCGCTGCGCCAGCGTATCACTCATAACGTTTAGCCCAGGGACCGGGCCCTCACCTTCTTCGGGGGCGACTTGAATTACGTGACCGCGCCGGAGGACCGTCGCTGCGTCAATTCTGGAGCTGCGGCGGGCGCGCGGGGCCGCGGTGGAGAGGCTAGTTGGCGTCGCGTTGCTGAGTGCCCACACGGTCTGCATGAACTTCACCAGCCCCGAATGACTTACGGTTCCCCCACCTCCCGCTCCCGCCTCGACAGGTTCTACTGCAATCAGAGCGCCGTGGAGGGCATCGACCGGAAGCTGACGTGCTCGGCGCTGGCGTGGACGCCCGGCTTATCTAGACACCGAGCTGTAAATTTTCGTCGAGCTCTGCCCCGGCGCTCCGCTTTCGAGGGCGCGCCTTGCCAGGCGACGTTATTGGGAATCTGGGGTGGCCTCGTCGAGTCGCACTTGCGTGACAAGATCTTTTGGGCGAGGGGGCTGCCCCTTCTAAACTCCGCAAGTTGGTGTGCCTCAAGAAGGCGATGCGAACCGCTGCCCGCAATTTGCCTTTCGCGGCTTCCCCTGCTGGGGACGCCGCTTCATTAGAGGATCGCGTCGGCGTCGCCATGAAATTTCTTCGATCCTCGGAGGCTGGTTCGGCGACCGGTGTGAGCCAGTGCATGATCCGATGCCCGCTCCTCCGGGGCCTCGTAGACAACCCCTGCGACTTCGACGCGCCCGTCGGCCGACGTCTACGTCTTGTCCAGATGCACATAGCGGAGCTTGCTCGCGATCAAACTGTTTCCGAACTACGGCAGCTGCACGTTGACATCCAAGGTTTGTCGGAAGAGCAGGCGACGCGTCACAGGCAGCGGAACCATCGGCTTCTTACTCGTCTCGCTCCTGGTCGTGGGCGTTCCAACTTCGCGCTCAGCGACGCCTCTGGGCACGCGCGCGCCCCCCCCGAGCATCGAGCCCGAGTCTTGCGAGGGCGCTGGTCTTCAGTATTCCGTCGCCGGCGCGCCGATGGACAGATTCGTCGGGCACGGCTTGCGGAGGAGGCTCTTCGCGCGGCCCCTTATCAGCGCCGCCGCGTTCCAGGCGATGCTGCCCCGTTCGAGACTTTCGAAAAGGCGATCCGCAACGCGAACAACAGTTCGCCTGGGTCGGGCGGGATTCCTTTCTAGGCCTGGCGAAAACGCGGCCGGTTTGCAGTGGGGGCCCACTGCGACGCGCGCTGCGCCATCGCGTGTCCTGGGGGGGCGAGCTTGCTGGAGGAGGAATGGGCAGCTTTTAACGGGAGCTCGATGGCGTTCCTCCCCGAGAAGCCATCTGGCTCCACCCCGGACGGGTTGGGCACTTTCATTGCGAACAACATGCGGCCCCTGAGCATCGCCAACGCCGACAACAGGATCATCTGCAGCGCGGTCCGCGTGCGCATCGAGCCGGACGTGGCCCCTGGGGTCTCAGACTCCCAACGAGGGTTTCTCCACGGCCAGTCCTTGTTGGCAAACCTTATGGACGTCGAGGAGGCGGTGCTTCACCATTCTCTTGTCTACGAAGACGCAGCGGTGGTGTTCTTCGACTTCGAAGCCGCCGTCCCGAGCGTCAGCCAGGCATTCCCGACGGCGGTGATCTCCGCGCGAGGCTGGCCGATGTGGCGCGCGTATTTTGTCCGGGCACTTTATTGTAATAATCATTGCGACGTTGTGATATCCGGGGCGAAAATCGGTGGATTTATTCTTGCGGCAGGGGTGCGTCAAGGCTGCCCCTTGTTACCCTTGCCGTTTGCGGTGCTGCCCGACGTCCTCCTGCGGCGCCTCGCCCGTTGCATTCCTGGCGCTGTTCTTCGCGCCTGCGCCGGCGACCACGCGGCCGCGCTCGCGCGCGGGGCAATGGGCGCCCCCGTTTTGGAGCGTATGGTCGAGCAGTGCGCGTTGCTCTCTGGGCTCCGGCCCCGCCGCGGCAAGTCGGCGTGGATGCCGCTGTCGCTGGTCGCTCCGGACGTGGCCCGGGCCCAGCTCCAAGCTGCAGCCCCCGCTCGGGGCGACTTTGCGATCCGACGCCGCGCCGCTTACCTCGGATTCGCAGTGGGGCCAGAACGCGCTGAGCATGCATGGACAATGCCCTTGGGCAAATTCATGGCGCGAGCCCGGGTATGGAGAGGCAGCGGGCGTGGCTTGTTGCTGGCGCTCTTGGCATGCCGCACTTGCGTATTCCCTGTCCTCGCTTTCGTGCTCCAGTTGGACCGCCCCCCCTCGGACTGGGCAGTCTACGAGGAGAAACCGTGCGCGATCCGCTTTCCGGGCCCGCGGGGCATGGCCCCTCCCGCGGCCCTCCGGCGCTTGCGCGCACTCGGCTTCCAGAGCGCGCTCGTCGACGCCAGCGCGACGGCTGCGGCGGCGAAGTGCAGGGTCTGCCAGCGGGAGAACTTCGCGCGCGGCGGCCTCGATGTTCGGCGCCGCGCCCGGGCATTGCAGGATGTTCGGGCGAGGTCCGACTACGCGACGCGGCAAGCAGTCTGGAATGATTGGCACGACAACAACTTCTTCGCCAACCTCGACCTGGCCCGCCGGCAACTCCAGCAGAAAGCGACGAGCGCAAGGATGTCGATTGCAGAGCTGATGCAGGGGGGCGCCGCTGAGCCCATCCCGCGGGAGCACTGGCAGAAACGTTGCCGCGTTCTCTTGCAGGAGCCGTCCCGACGGGCCGGGCGCGCCACCTTCGTCGTTACCTTGCTCGCCTATGTATCCCATTGCTTCCAAGTCGCCGCCTGGAGCGAGCCACCTGCGCCCTCCGCGGGCTGGCGCATTTGGTGCCTCCTCGCGTTTGGGCGGTCAGCTTCCGGGCGCTCTGCAGTGGCTGGAACACCAGCAACCGCGTGCAGCGTCGCATGGAGCGCGTGTTCGGCTGCGGAGCTGCCGAGGACAGCCTTCGACAGTATGCTTTTTGCCCGAGGGTCGCGGATTTAAGCCGGAGGCGTCTGGGCTTCATCCCCGCTCCTCCTCGGGGGCGTTTGTTTGCTTTTCCTTTTTTGACCCCGCCGTTTCGCGAAGATACGGCCAGTGAGTTGGCCCGACGTGCCCTTGCGACATATGCGGTGTGCGCTGCGGTGACCGCCGCGCGCCGCGGGCAGACCACCGACGCGCAGGAGGCTTTGGCGCAGTGCGCGCGCGAGGCTTGTGCGGCACACGCTGGATTGGCGAATCTAGTAGCTGCTGTGTGGACTAGTTGACTCGTACCTCTTCGTCCTCCCCTCTGCTGGTTCGCCTCCTCTCCCTCTCCCTCACCTGTTTCACGCCGTTCTTCCCCCCCCGGCCAGGGCCGGGCAACCATAAGGGTTGCGATTGGGTAATGCTAGATATTTGATTCTAAAACTCGACTGCACTTTTGTGCTTGGCCGCCGTCCGTGACCGCAGATGTCTTCCCGTCTTTTCCCCTCCTCCTCCTCCTCCTCCTCCTCCTCCTCCTCCTCCTCCTCTTGATTGCATAATGTTGTGTTGAATTTATTGGCGTGGCCGTTTGGGCCCCCTTGTAGGGGTATCGCACAACTTATTTGCAGCCGCGGGGCCGGTACGTTTCCAAGGGACTCCGTATCATTGGCATTCTCTACTCCTGCCCGAGTCCGGGGCTATCGTCGATTTTCGGGGACATGGCTCAAATCCGCGATTATTTCTCCCTCCGCCTCCTGCTGCTCCTCCTCCTCCTCCTCCTCCTCCTCCTCCTCCCCATGTGTCCCGCACTTCACGTTGGTCATCCGAGCGGGTCATCGGAAACGTGTAACTGTCGTCACTTTTCGGCTCCTCAGGTTTGAATTTGGGGGAAGTATCAAGCGGGAGCCTCGTATGCGAGTGAATTGTGAGGACGTCTCAGGCAGGAACCCCCCCTATGGGTCCCGTATTTCATGTTGGTAATCCGAGCGGGTCATCCGAAACGTGTAACTGTCATCACTTTTGGGTTCCTCAGGCCTGAATTTTGGGGAAGTATCAAGCGGAAGCATCGTCTGTGAGTGAATTGTGGAGAAGTCTCAGGCGGGAGCCCCCCCCTAGGTTCCGTGTTTCATGTTGGTAATCGGAGCGGGTCATCCGAAACATGTAACTGTCGTCATTTGTGGGCCAAAACTTAAGCCTCCAGCGGCCTGCGCGGCGACTCTCCGCCATGACGTGTCCCGCACTTCATGGTGGTAATCCGAGCGGGTCATCGGATTCCGGTGACTTTCGTCATTTTTTGGGGTCTTCAGTTCTTGCGGCGAGAATACGGGGGAAGGGTTCCTCAGCTCCTGCGGCCAGACAGCAGGGGAAGTATCAGGCGGGAGCTTCGTCTGTGAGCGAAGTGCGGGTAGCCTCGCTTGAGGTGGTCGTCCGCAAACTTGTTGTTATCATGGGCCTCTGTGCCCGAAAAGGCGACTGAGGAACTGACGACGACGACGACGAGACAGCGGCCGGGCGCAGGGGTAACCCCTTGTGTCCAGGCCGGGGGTGGTAACCCATCCTCGGCCGAATCGGGGGCAGGGGTAACCCCTTGTCGCATGGCCGCCGGTGGTAACCCATCGGCGGCCGAATCGGGCGCAGGGGTAACCCCTTGCGTCCGGGCTGGGGGTGGTGACCCATCCTCGGCCGAATCGGGGTTTGGAGCTCGGAGCTCGGAGCTTGGAGCTTGCTGATGTTCAGGCCCAGCGAGCAGGAACTCACGTGGCAGAGCTCGGGGTCGCACGCCGTGCGCCGCTCGGGGTTCACTCTGACTCACGCGTCCTGCCTCACCTCCACGCTGTCGCACGGCCAGACGTTCCACAAGGGCGTCACCATCGACTGCGCGAGGGACGAGGACGCTGGCCGCACGGGCATGTCGGACGACCAGTGGTGGCTGCACCTCTACGTCATGCTTTCCATGCGGGACATGCTGATCCCGCGGCCGCCCTCGCGCGAGTTTCTGGAGCGCGGGCCGCCGGCTTCCTTGCGGAATGCGCTCCTGGAGTTCGACAAGAGAGCGAAGACGTCCAGGGATGAGGCCGAGCAGCTCGCCGCAGAGCTTGGGTTCATGCTGCCTCCCGCCTTAGCGCGGCTGCGCCCTGCTCGAAGCCCGCGGGGTTGCCCCGGCGGCTTGGCCCGCGGGGCTGTCCCGACCGCCTGCCCCCGCGCCCCAGCGGCCCGCGGGGTTGCCCCAAAGGCTTCGCGAACCAGCCGTCGGGGAATGCGCGCGGTTTGGCCGCGGCGGCGACGGCGCCGCGGAACGTCGATTTGCTTGCCCGGGGAGGGGAGGAACGCGCGGAGAAGAAGCAGGGGAAGGGCGGGGGCGGGGAAGGGGTGCGGATGGGGTGATGATGAGGAGGAAATGGAAAAGGAGGAGGAGGGGGAGAAATAGAAGGAGGGGGGGTAGGTGAGGGCAGAACGGCGGGCGAGAGGAAAGTGTCCGTCAGGGCGAGGATGAAAAGGGTCAGGGCAATCTAAACATATTATCATGTGGGGTCTTTCCGTCGGAGTAATTGTATGTTTTTTTGGGCAGTCGATTCTGACATCCTTCCGGAACCGGAGGTTTTTGAATGAAGTCGGCATGCGCGCGCGACAACGCGCGCGCCCGTGCACTTCGTCCCGTTTTTTGCAGAGGATTCTCGCGACGGCACGCGCGCAAGAGCGATCGAATGATTCCGACATCCGCGCGCGAAACCCGTTTGGTAGTTTTTTTGGTTGGTGTAATGTTGAAAACCTATGGTTTTCTTCAGATTTAGCAAGAGCGCGCGTGTACATTTTTTCAGAACATCAGTGTTGCGAAACCCTGTGTTTGTGTATGTTTTTTGGGACGAAGCCCTTCCCACACCGAGCGTTTTGGAAGGATTCGGGCATGCGCGCGCGACGACGCGCGCGTGTGCACTTCGCTTCATTCTTGTGCAACGGATTTTTGAAAACGTATGATTTGTTGATGAACAAGTGCGCGCGCATAGTATTTCTTTTCATAGGAGGGGGGTCGATACCGGCTTGGCTGGGATAGTATAAATTCACAGGTAGGATGGACGATGAGGCAGAATCATATCTAAATTGCAATACGATAGTTCCGGGGGGGGCTCGATAATTCCGGGGGGGGGGAGAGTGTATTCTTATTTTAGAAGGGATAATCTATGTGGTGCATCCATTTTGACTGTCTTGAAGCTGCCCTCTCCGCTGCTCGTGCAAACGTCCACCCTTCCACCCGCAACTTGGTCGCGATACCTCTTAAGACCGTGACGGTGTGTACCACATGGCACTTGGCAGCGGCGCCGACGCCGACGACGACAGCGACATCGACGACGACGACGACGCCGACGACGACGACGCCGATTCCGAAGACTTCGACGACGACGACAACGACGACGACGACGACGCCGACGCCAACGACGCCGACGACGCCAACGACGACGACGCCGACGACGACGACGACGCCGACGACGACGGCGAAACGACGACGACGAAGACGACGACGACGACGACATCGTCGCCAACGAAAACGACGACGAGGGAGGAGGGAGGACGACGACGGCGACAACGACGACAACGACGAGGGAGGAGGGATAACGGCGACGACGCGAACGACGAAGAAGGAGGGAGGACGGCGACGCCGACGACGACAAGACGAGGGAGGAGGGAAGACGACGACGACGACGACGACGACGACGGCGACGAAATAGGAGAGACGATGAAAAGACGCCGACCACGGACGACGACGAGGAGGGAGGAGGAAGGACGACCACGGCGACAACGACAACGGAAACGACGACGACGCCAGAGAGGACGACGCCGACGACGACGAGGAAAAACAGAGGACGACGACGGCGACAACGACGACGACGACGACGACGACGACGACGACGAGAGAGGAGGGAGGACGGCGACGACGGCGATGCAAGAGCGCGCGCGCACGCTTGTTTGAAAAAACTAGATTTTGAAACCCTTCCGAAGCCGAGAGTTTCTGAAGGATTTCGGCATGCGCGCGCGACGGCGCGCGCGCGCGTGCATCTCGTCCCGTCTTTTGCAGAGGATTCTCGCGACGGCACGCGCGCAAGGGCGATCGAACGATTCCGACATGCGCGCGCGAAGCCCGTTTGGTAGTTTTTGCGGTTTTCCTTTTTTTTGTTGAAAATCTTGAAACGCCGATGGTCATCCTAAGGTTTCGCAGGAGCATGCGCGTAAGTTTTTTTAGAACATCAGTTTTTGCGAATCCCTGTGTTTTCGCATGTCTTGTGGAAGCCCGATTTTGATTCCTTCCGAAACCGAAGGTTTCTGACTGATTTCGGCACGCGCGCGCGACCACGCGCGCGTGTGCACTTCGTCTCGTTTTTGCCAGGGATTCTTGAAAGCTTGTGATATATGATAAACGAGTGTGTGCGCATAGTTTTTTGGCAGAGGATGGGGGGGGGCGATACCGCCCCTATTGGGATAGTGTAGGTTCATATTTGGGATGGGTGATGGGGCAGAATCGCATGTAAATTGCAATACGAAAAGGTGGATCTCTAAGCCCGGGGGGGGGGAGGGTGGTAGAACCGATCTCCTTCTTAGAAAATAGAATTGATTTTGACAAACGAGTTGACACATTCCATGCTCTTGCAAACATCCCACCCATGCGGTGGCGATTGCGATGCATGCTTGGCGTTGGCTGGTGCATCTCTGCGGCCGCGCCAATCCAAACACGCGCGCGCAGCGGCCAACTAGTTTGGCGCGACCGACGCGGCCGCGGTGGCGTTGACCGCTGGGCACATCCCAGCGGGCACTTCAGTGCGAATCGGCGATTTGGGCGGGCGCGGTATCATGGCAACGTCGACGACGGCTAACACTGGTGACGATGTTGACGACGACGGCGCGGCCACTGCGGGCGCCGACGATGCTGATCACGCCGGCGACGATGACGCCGTCCTCGCGTCGGTGGTGAAGGTTTTGGAAGGAGTTCGAAATGTGCGCGCTTGACTCGCGCGAGAATGGCCCGCATGGTATTATTTGACACGGATCGTGCCCCCCCCCCAAACACGCGCGCAAGGGCGTGCGAATGGTGTCGGCATGCGGCGCCAGAGGGCCTTTTGGCCGAATCGCATCCGCATTTTTTGTTGTTGTTGTTGTTGTTGTTTTTTCCCTCTTCCTTTCCCCGCATGCTTTTTTTGCACGCTGAGGTTGCGAAACCATAGTGCTTTTGCAAAGGTTTCTTGCGACAGCACGCGCGCAAGGGCGTCCGAACGATTTCGGCATGCGCGAGCGCGACGCCTGTTTGGTCGTATTTTATGAACCAGTTGACCACCAACTGGTTTTCGTCATAATTCGGAAAAAACGCGCGCGCAAATTATATTTATATAGGTATGTATATGTATATGTATGTGTATGTGTATATGTATATGTATATGTATATATATA